TAATAAATACAATATTTTTTTAAAAAAAGATTGTAGCAATTATTACACATATTAGCTACCCCAGTGGACAGAATCAGAAGCTTGTCTTGTTCCAGCATGAGGACTGAGACCAAAAAATGCAGCAGATGAATGAACACCTTGAAGCCTATGTCTAGAATCAGCAGTTATTAAATGTATCCTTGCTCTGGAATATGTTACTGAACATGTTAAAGCTGTAATGAAATGCTTCAAAAAAAAAAAACTTGAAAACAAATTTTGAAAATTTAAAAAAAACAACAAAAAAAAAACTTGGGCTGACAAGATGGCTCAGTGGTTACAGTGCTTGCTGCCAAGCCTGACGACCCAAATTTGATACTTGGGACCCACATAGGGGAAGGAGAGAAACAACTCCCACAAGTTGTCCTCTGACTTCCACACATGCACTGTGGTACATGCATGTGTGCACGCACCTCCACACAAACACACAAAGTAAATAAATACAGTTTAATTTTTTAGGGGAAAAAAACTAAACTCAACACCCATGAGATAGAGGGGAAATAAAGGAAAAGTGCAGGAGGCAATCCGCAGAGATGTAGTAAAAAACACTAGAGATTCAACAAAATATTTAATCTGAAAATGAATCTTTTAGAAGTTCACAGAAATACAAAAGTAGAAGAAGAGTTAATTCAGGGCTAGAGAAGATGGATCAGCAGTTAACAGCCCTGGATACTCCTGCAGAGAACCCAGGTTTGGTTCCTAGCGCCCACATGGTAGCCAGCAACCATTCATAACTCTAGTTCCATGGACTGACACCATCTTCTGGTTCCATGGGCATTGCACAACACAGGTACACTTACATACATGCAGACAAAACATTCATACACATAAAATAAAAATAAATAAATTGGGCTAGAGAGATGGCTCAGCACTGGCTACTCTTGCAGAAGACCTGGATTCGATTCCCAGCACCAACATGATGGCTAACAACCCTCCTTAACTCCAGTTCCAGAGGAATCCAATGCCTTCTGACCTCTGTGGGCATTGCACAACATGGCGCACTTACATCCAGGCAGGCAATACACTCAAACACATAAAAATAATAAATAAAATAATTTTGAAATTTTTAAAGAGCTAACCCTACATAATCCATTAAGATAAAACACATACTCTCTAATAAAAATATTCAATTAGAAACAAATTAATTTGGTTCATAAAATGTTATTGCTATGAAGATAAGTTTTAATTAAGGGGGAAGCATTATAAAGCATATCACTAGGCCCCTCTAATTCCATCTCTCAGAGACACTAAAATATTTTAAAAATTCATTCAGCTAAAAAAGGAAGTCTCTCAAAACCCAACAAAATTACATTAACAGAAGGAATAAAGTTATTAAAACTAAAACTCAAAGCATACTACTCAACACTTTGTCTTTAAAATTCTATGTTTTATAGACCTGCACACTGTCAAAAAGAGCCTAGAAAAATTATTTTTAACCTATTTTTTGTTTTATTATATATGTGTTTGTATCTGTGTACATGTATACAGGTATGCATGTATTTGGAGGCCAGAGTCAACATGGGGTATCTTTCTCAATCACTTTTCCACCTTGTTTGTGTGTGTGTGGTGTTGTGTATGGATGTGGTCCTGTGTGTGTAAGTATGCACTTACATGTATGTGTGTATATCCAGACCTTGGGGTTGATGTCAGGTATCGTCCTCAATTACTCTCCATCTTTTATTTTGAGATAGGTCTCTCACCAAACAAAGAGTTCATTGATTCAGCTAGACTGGCTAGTGGGCAAACTCTAGGGATGTGTCTATCCCTGTCCTTCCAGTGGTGGGATTACAGGTGTGCATTGCCACACCTGGCTCCTGTGTGGATTCTAGGGATCCAAATTCAGTTTTTCAGCTGGGCATGGTGGTGCATGCCTGTAGTCCCAGCATTTAAGAGGCAGAGGCAGGCAGATCTCTGTGAGTTCAAGGCCAGCCTGGTCTACATAGTGAGCTCTAGGACAGCTGGAGCTACAGGGAGACCCTGTCTGAAAAAGACCAAAAAAAGAAAAAAAACACCAAAAAATCAAATTCAGTTTTTCATGACTGCACAGCAGGCACCTTGATGACTGAGCCATTCTCCAGCCCCCAAAGTAATTTTTTTATAACAAGCAGGTACAGTTCTACACTTCAGGGAAAATGTAAAAATATTCAAAATAGGTCACCGATGATTTGAGAAAGAAGAAAGGTAAGCATGAAAATGCATCTAGTGTTTGATAAATATTAAATTCCCGAGGAAACAATAACCCTAAATGATAAGGTAGAAACTGTGATCCTGGAAGCCAAACTGGAACAGCTGCGTGGTGATCCTCCCCACATCAGGAAATGTGGAGCATCTAGTGAGGTCCTCCACATTCTGATATTATTAATGTTGTGGGACATACATAAATCCTATGGATGGGCTCCTCTGGACTGACAGTTGGGATAACTCATGTGTTTAACCCGGCTTTCGTCTAGAAAAGAACAGCCCAGCAGTTAAAAGAGCTGAACAGGGCAGTTCTGTTTGCCAAATACTTGTGGACCCTTTCCAGTATCCTGTAGTCAAGTCATTCAGGGCTCATACTAATGTATAACCTTTGTGAAAAAGAACTGTAGTGCAATGAATAATAATCAGAGAGACTATGAAAATTACTAAATAAAAAATGTTTCCAAGTAGTAATTTAATGATTAAAAAAATTCAAAACAATTCTACCTCATTTATTAATACACCCCAATATAAAACACATAGCTGATTTCCTGTGAAATGACTAAGTTACTCATACTCTGGGAGATTTATGACCAATCAAGGCAATGCCAGAACTTTCTCAAGGCAATGCTGGAGCTTTCTGAGTCACAGACCCAACATGCTACTGTCCTGCTGTTAAATAAACACAGATACATATGAAGCAAACACCTGTCCATTTATATCTGTCATGGCACTCATGAAGCCCCTGCCATCTACTTAGGACTCCCTAGAGATCCAGGGAAGCCACTTCTAGAACTGCTGCTTTAATGACAAGAAACAGCAAATACACAGGACTCCACAGAAAAGGAGATGAACCGTTAACGCTAGAGCTTCGCTTCTTGATCATTCCAGAAAAATACTGAATATAAAAGCCCCTACTCTCACTGACCCTTAAATAATATACTTCCAGACTGATCCAAAATGAAGACACATGCCTTAAAAAGTAAACTTGGAAATATTTAATGAGAGCTAGAAGGAATAGCAATAGATGTTTATTGAGAATTCACTATGTACTGAGCATTGTCTTAAGTATTCTAAATATATTCATAATGTAAGTGTAAATAATTATTTTCATTTCACCAACAAAGAAATTAAAGGACAGAAAGGTACAAAGTCAAGAAACAATGACATGAAAGGATAAAGCAGCAGCAAGAAACTTAGAAAGTAAGCTGCTGCTCTACAAATTCTTCAGTTCTAAAAAGCAAGAACAAACTGTCCAAACCGCAGAATAAGGATGAAATCTTGATCTTTGCCATACCCTGTGCCAAGATAATCTGTATAAAACCATATTCACTAAGAGTACACTTGTTACTAGAAATGGAAACACAAAATGTTCAAAAAGAGTACACTACAGAATTTAAAAGATGAAAACTAAAGATTAATTTTTAAGGACAACACATGTTAGTTTTCTACTTCACAATCAGAAATAAATCATGCTTTGGAAAAATTAGTCACACAGCTATAAAAAATTGAAATAAGTACTTTTTCCTGCAAGGGAAGTTCAAGTTTCACTAACTCAAACTTTTCTCAAGACTGCCTCTTTTTTCTCATCTTTGTGCAATGCCTCTTCCTATCCATGAACTATTAAAAAGTAGAGACAATGCCACAGGCTAACAACCTTTACCAACTATAGATGTCTTCTTTGTACCTACACTATACCCTGAACAATGTAATAGATCATAATACATTTGTTGAATGGCTGAACCTTCTCCAATCTAATGCATGTGATGAAGCTATGGCTACTTTAATATTTTCTACCTCCCAGAATACTACAAATACTAAGTTATTATAGCATCAAAATAATGAAGGGAAACCAATCCTTTTATTTCAACCTCATGCCCCCAAAGACATAATTTATAAGTTTTAGATTTGACATCAAGGAAAAAAGGAAAGACTACATCAGTTTATGCAATTATTGGAAATCAAAGCTACCACTAAAGTGTTACCTTATCTACAACGACATTCCTAACATACCATCATTTTTACAACTTGCTTTAAAATTCGTGATATAACAAAATTAGAGTTTTTTTTCTTTTACATAACCAATAACTTTCTGAATTAGAGATAAAAATTTTTCAGTGAGCTGAGAAAGGCTGCCACTTCAACAGTAAATGTTCTAAATTTGGCTAAAAATCACAAACTAATGATAATGACAAGTGCACCAGTTCCTCAATATTTAGCTCACACACTGAACTCACTGCTCCTGGCTTACTGAACTGCTAAAATATCATATTGCTACCACACACAATTTAAAAACTATACACACACTTCTTGGAAGCCAATACCAATTAAAAGCCAATCTTTTATGCAGTAAGAAGGCTTTTCAAAGCATAAAGCAAACAAGCACAGAAATTCATACTAAACCATTCCCTAATATTAAGCAGTATTTTTAAAGTACAACTTTTACTCGCTTTATAGCAGTTCAGCAAAACAAGCAAGGATGGTATTATCTTGGCAAAACTTAAAAAGCTATTTCTTAGAATCTTAGAAAGCAGCTTGACACACAACACTCTTCCATCTGTTTTATTCAATAAGTTATTATCCAATGGGAATTAAGCCCTTCTCAAATAATGGTCAAAATTGCATTCATTAAAAAAAACAAAGAGCAACTTTGCATGATGAGGAACACAGGTAGACAAAGAAATAGCTAGTAATGATCTTAAACCAAGCAAACAGGAGTGACACTGAGACATAAAATTCACACAGTATATACAGCAATCATAGTAGATAATTCTGTTCACACTTACCTGAGGAGCTCTCAGTAAATACTGTTAATGTCTGTCCTCCAACACTTTGCAAAACAAATGGATGTTCTCTAGGAGCACTCACTGAAGCTGGTTTTCCACCAATATCATGAATATTTGCAAGATCTTCATTCAAAGTAAATGATACCTAATAGAGAAATTAACCAGAGCTTATTAAATAGATATTTATATTCAAAGTACCTATATAGACATTTTGATATAAACCAATTTTTTTTTTACTTTTAATGTGAGTCTATTAAACATTTTTTAAATGTGATCAAGAAATTCTTGGGGGGAGACCTAGAGAAGTGACTCAGTGGTTAAGAGCACTGCTGCTCTTGCAGAAGACCTAAGTTCAGTTCCCAGCACCAACATGGTGACTGACAACCATCTATAACTGTAGTTTCAGGGGATCCAACACCCTCGTCCGCCCTTCCCAGGCACTGTACACATGGATGCACTAAAATACCTGAAGGCAAGACATTCATACCCTGAAAAAAATGAAAATAAAATTTGATTAAAAAAAAAAGAAAAGTCCTTAGTTAAGTGTGGTGGCACACTTTAATCCCAGCACTCTGGATGAGGAGGCAGGCAGATCTGAGAGTCCCAGGCCAATTGGGATTAGAGAGAGACTCTGTCTCCCTGCTCCCCCCAAAAAAGGGAAGAAAAGAAGGGAGGGAGGAGAAAACTGAAGATTTATTCCCATGTGTCAGAATGACAGAACTTGTCTACTGACATTCTCTCTGGTCTGACTGAAGAAGTCTTTCCAAAAACAGGAATGAAGTTACTTTTTCCTATGGTCTCCAAAGTCAAAAGAATTACCTTAAATCCCCAAGATTTAGCATAGTGCTTGGCACATAAAAAGAAAACAATGCTCACTGAATGAGTGATAATTTGAAGAACACTGAGAAAGTAACTGTACTTGAAGGGGGTAAAAAGTGAGCTATTTATTTTATTTTATTTTTTTTGGTCTTTTTGAGACAGGGTCTCCTTGTAGCCCCAGCTGTCCTGGAACTTACCATGTAGACCAGGCTCACAAAGACTCACAAAGACTTGCCTGCCTCTGCCTCCCAAGTGCTGGGATTAAAGGCATGCACCACCACGCCTGGCTTGTGAGCTATTTATTCTAAAAAGTTTAAAAACTCTATAAACAAGATAAACTTTTTTTAGTTTTAACAACTATTACATGAACGTATGGTACTATTTTTCTAGTTTTTCAATTACATAGGAAAATGATTTATTAAATACCTGTCTACTATAGGATAAGTACTATATAAACGGCATGAACTAGACTCAATGGTTTAAAATCGAAAACCCTCAAAATTCCAATCAAATGCCTCTGTCACACAGAATACTAAGGTATTATTAAACTCATACTAAGTAAGAGGTAGTTAGGTCAAACAAGAAAAATGAGAATGAACTAGAAAAAGAATCCATGCAAGTGGTATTTGTATCTTTACGTGTACCTGACCATCAGCCATTCATTTCATCTGGAGTTTTCCAAATGCAAGGCATATCCTTTTTTGTTCACTATTACTAATAAGTAAATAACCTCACAGGCTTTTTGTTGTTCTGTTTTTGTTTTTTTGTGAAACAGGGTCTCAGGTAACCCAGCTGGTCTGAAACTTGCATGCAGCTGAAGATGACCCTGAACTTGTGATTCTCCTACTCCTATTTCCCAAGTACTGGAATTACAAGCATGTACCCCCATGTCCAGCTCATGTTTTAAGTAAAATTTTCATATAAATAATCTTACCTCCGTCCTTCCTTGATTCCTAAAAGAGAAAAAAATGCAGAATTACTTAAATTTCATATTACTTTCAAATATGAGTAAAAATCTAAAGACTTAATGCTAGTTAATATTTACATAAAATACTGCACTTATATCAACTAATGATTATCCTCTGCTCCATTTGTAATCCTGTAAGAAAACAGTCACATCAATCCTACCATGAACTTGTATCACATAACACCACTGTAAACTTTCTTAATTATATTAACCCATGGTCTTACAATTATTACCTTTATTTCTAAGCATGTTTAGCTTCTACTTCTTTGTCTGTCTGAAGAGGTTTCATTTATATCCAACAGAATCTTAAAGATCAAGATCACAAACTAATGATCAGATTTGGCTGGAAGAGAGAGGCAAACAAGAAAAGTGGGAGTGGGGGTGCAGCTCAGTATACGAGCACTGGATTAATCCCTAGGACTACTCCTTACCCCCAAAAGGAAATAACTAAGAAGGAGAAATAATGCTAAACTGGAAGATCTTAAATATCACTGCTCAAAGCATGGACTTTACTCTTTAGACAGTAGAGATCTGCAGATACCATTTGAACAGAAGAACACCAAGTACAAAGGTGCTCAGCTCTGACTTGCACCACAGAATATACAAGTGGACTAAAGAGCATTGAAGTGTAAAGTGCAGTAAGAAACTGCTTTTCTCCTAAAACTTAGCTTAGTACCAACCTGCCTTCATTAAATGCCTTACTCAGTCATTACAAGTCTTCTATATTCCTTAGGCTCTGAGAAGCACAAGTCCTTGTCTATAGAGTCCCACTATACCAACCTGCAAGGCAAAATGTGCCCACTGGTGCAATAGACAGGGATACCGAGCTCTCTCTGGATTTGATGCCTGCTCCACAAGGAGTATTCCTATCTGGTACTGTAAACCAAGAAAAACACCCATGGCTGAGGAGGTCTTAAAGCCCAAGAGGGTGAACTTAGCATTGCTGCTTAAACTGTCATAGTGCCAAACCGTATTTCTATTTATTCCCATAGACAAATGCTGCTCTGTGCTTTAATCATAAAAACATCTCTTTGCAATGACTGTTGGTGAATGCAGAGATTCATGGCTGCTTAAGGTGCTGAGAATAAGTGAAGGCTGAATCTTCATCCCTAAGTGGGGCATTTATACCAATACCTCTAAACTCAGGGAACATCACAGAAGAGGGGACAGAGAATTAAGAGCTGGGATAGGGAAAGGGGCTGTGAAGTGCTGTCTTTTAGACATGGCACAGCCACTGAAGTCATGACCTCAGGGCAGCTATAGCTGCCTGCAATGGGCTACACAGGCTGGGACTATTAATAGTCCTTCAGAAATCAAGTAGTACAGTTTACTGAACTATTGGCTACTAATGGATTCTGGGTGAGGGGCAGTCACTGTCTTCTGTTATGTACTGACTGAGGAGCTCACTAGGCTCCAATAGATAGTTCCAAACCCATGTTCACACAGATGATCCTGGATAAACTCAGTGGTTCTCAAATAACAAAACAGCCAGAAGGGAGCAGAATAGGGATGGTAGGGAAATTAGAGAGAAAGGGCTATAATAATTAGAATGTATGTATATATCTATGAAATTCTCAAAGAACAAACTCAATAAAAAATTTTTTTTAAAGAAAGTCCCAGGCTAATGAAAATAATTAAATCCACAAACAACTATAAATAAGACAGTTGTTACCTTGTCAAAATGATCCAATTTTATGACAGAGGTACAGCATATTACCAAGGAAATGCAAACTAGAAAGCCAGGAGAAGAGGAACTGAGTGAACGATAAGGTCAACAGAGTAAAGGACTAGTCCAAGTAAACACCAGAAATAAGTAAGCCTCTAGCAAAGTCTATGACCCCCAGAATGGCAGCTATAAGGGGGCTTTTTCATCAGAAGAAGGAGTCTAAATTTTTCTTTTTCCTTTTTAGAGACGGGGTCTCACTATGGCCCTGGCTGGCCTGGAACTTACAGAGATCCACCTGCCTTTGTGTATTAGTTACTTTTCTGTTGCTGTGATAGAAATACCATGACGAAGGGAACTTATAAAAAGTTTATTTAGCTTACAGCTCCAAAAGAACAAGAGTCAGTCCATCATGGTGGGGAGACACGGAGGCAGAGGTGGCTGGAGGAGGAGCAAAGGTAAGCTCTCACATTTTCAGGCAGGCACAGGAAACAAGAGAGCAAGGCTTAAGAACTCTCTAAGCCTGCCGCCAGTGACATGCTTCCTCCAGGATAGCCATACCTTCTAAGACCTCCCAAAACAACTGGGACAAAAATGTCCAAATACTTGGAGCCTATGGAGGATATTCTCATCCAAACTATCACATCATGCTTCCAGAGTGTCAATATTAAAGGCATGGGATTCCATGCTCAGTAAGAGTCTAAATTCTTTTTTTGGGGGGGGGGGGGGCTTGAACTCACAGAGATCCGCCTGCTTCTGCCTCCCAAGTGCTGGGACTCAGGCGTGTGCCACCACGCCCACCAAGTCTAAATTCTTAAAACAGGTTTGCTTATTTTAGTATTTCTCAGTCTTTCTTTGCATATTAAAATGCAGTATCAATCTTCTTCATTGACAAAGTATTTAGGAAAAAAAATGAAGAAAACCTTAAGATTTCACATAAAATATGAATTTCTATCTTCTTTTACAAGACTTGAAGACGTGGCCACTGGCCTCAGAACTGACAGAAAAGGAAATGGCTGCAAGTGGGCAGCAAAGGAAAAAGGATGAATTAAAGATCACATTGACATTTCCAGTCTGGATAACTAGAAAAACCACCCAGATGTCATTAGGGAACACAGGAGGGGAGGAAACTTCATTTTTATGTATACATAATTATAGAGGCTGCTTAGTGAGAATGATGACATATTGCTGAGCTCTGGATGCATTAACTTTATAGGAAACAAAAGTTAATCCCTGAAAACTGAAAATATATTTTAAACTGTTAATCATGTATGTCTTGGTATGCTGTGCATGAAATACATAAAACCTTTTATTGTTCCACATCACAACTAGCACACCCTTTGCATGATGGCCTTGACCAAATGACCAACATCCACTAGTACATCTTCAACAGTTTCTCCAGAAATCAATGAGGTAGGCATTTCTTTCTTCACTACTGAGTTCATTTCTCAATACCCAGAACTCCAGTCATTCCTCTTGTCTTTAAAAAATTAATCATGTGTCTTTTTTCTTCATTTTTAAATATTAATTTTAAAATAAATAAATAAAAATTTTAATAAGGAATAGAATAGTTAATTTTTTAATTATTTTTATTTTATGCATATAAGTGTATTGCCTACATGCATGGGAAGTGCACCCGTGTTGTGCAATGCCCTCAGAGGTCAGAAGAGGGCGCCAAATTCCCCTGGAACTGGAGTTATGGACAGTTGTTAGATGATGTCATGTGGGTGCTGGGAATCGAACCCAGATCCTCTGCAACAGCAGCCAGTGCTCTTAACCGCTGAGCCATCTCTCCAGCCCCAGGAATGGAATATATATATAGTATCACTCCACAGATATATAAATTACATGAGAGTAAAGATAAGTTTTACAGTGAAGAAACTTAGAAGATGCTTCAAGTTAATACTATCATGAACAAGATCAAAGGCAAGCACGCAAGCCCCAGGAGAACACCAGAAGAACCTGCTGCACTTTGCTTTATTCTTGCCCAAGGCTACATGACTCAAATCTAACCATCAAGAACCATCAGACAAATACAGATTCACTAAAATTACTGTCTTGTAAATATCAACACTTATTGGGGTTTATGCACTAGAATAGTCAAGGAAAACTTCAGAATGTTCTGTTGAATGAAGGAAATTTTAAAAATACATGACGGGCTGGAGAGACGGCTCAGCAGTTAAGAGCACTAGTTGTTCGTGTAGAAGACCTGGATTTGAATCCTAGCACCCACATGGCAGCTAACAATCATCCATAGCTCCAATACCAGGGGATCTGGCACCCTCTTCTGTCTCTGAGGACACTGCATGACACGGGTGCACTTGCATACATGCATGCAATACACACATACACATAAAAATAAATAAATAAGGCCAAGCGTGGTGGCGCACGCCTTTAATCCCAGCACTTGGGAGGCAGAGGCAGGCAGATCCTTGAGTTCAAGGCCAGCCTGGTCCACATAGTGAGTTCCAGGACAGCTGGGGCTACAAGGAGACCCTGTCTCAAAAAAACCAATAAATAAATAAATAATAAAATAAAAAATACATGAGAAGAGAATACAACATAACTAAGATTTGAAACTAGAGCCTTTTGCTATAAAACAATACTGAGACAAGTGGGGAACACTGAATGAAGTCTAAGTTTAGAGGGAGTCCTGTGCTGATGTGGAGACGTGTGGGATTAGATGGAAAATGTCTTTGAAGGAAATACACAGAGTGGTGGAGGGTGGCAGGGAATAACATCAGCAACCTAGCCTTAAATAGTCCAGGAAAAAAGTTCTTTTTACTATTTTTCTACCTCTCCTATAGTTTGAGATTGTTTCATTTTTAAATTTATTTTTATTTTGTGTGTTTTTTTTAGGCTAGGCTGGCCTTGAAATCACTATGTAGCTGAGGATAACCTTGACCTTTGGATCTTCCTGTCTCTACCTACTGAGTGCCAGAATTGTAGGCACATACCACCACACCTGATTCAGGCAGGGCTGGGGATCAAACAGGACTTTTTGAATGCTACTTAAGCATTCTACCAACTGAGTTACATTCCCAGCCTCGAGATTTTTTTCTGTTTTATTTTTTTTAAAAGTCTTCAAAGGCTGGAGAGATGGCTCAGCGGTTAAGAGCACTGACTGCTCTTGCAGAGGACCTGGGTTCGATTCCCAGCATCCACATGGCAGCTGTGAACCGTCCTTAACTCCAGCTCCAGGGGAATCCAAAGCCCTCTTCAGACCTCCGCAGCGTTGCACGACATAGGTGTACTCACATACATGCAGGCAATACACTCATACACATAAAATAAAAATATTTTTTAAGAAGTCTTCAAAAATA